TATCAGGTCTGTGCAGTGTCGTATGACATCTATGTACCAAGTTTCATTGAAATGTGATGATTAGTACTTGAGATATCAGTGGAAAAACCGAAAATTGACTAATCATTATGCAAATTAGGTAATTAGTATCCACGGATTATTACCAAAAACTAATCAAAACCTAGCATTAGTTCAGAGCATCTATGTACCAAGTTTCATCAAAATCCAATGAGTGGTTGTTTAGATATCAGTGGAACAGCCATGGAACCACTAAAAAATAGCTAATTATCATGCAAATTAGGTAATTAATATGCACGGATTTTTACCAAAAATTAATAAAATCTGCGCATATGTTCAGAGCATCTATGTACCAAGTTTCATCAAAATCCAATGAGTGGTTCTTTAGATATCAGTGGAACAGTCATAGAACAGCTAAAAATTAGCTAATTATCATGCAAATTAGGTAATTAACGAGCATGGATTTTTACCAAAACCTAATCAAATCTGCGCATTGGCCCAGAGCATCTATGCACCAAGTTTCATCAAAAACCGATGTATGGTTCTTGAGATAGCAGTGGAACAGTCGGACACACATACACACATACACACACACTAACTGCAAAGACTCCCATTTTGTGCTTCGCACATGGGAGTCAAAAATGAAATTGCTGCCAGCAAATGCTTAGTTGACAGCTTTGTAGTATTCTAGGAGTTTTCAGAAGCTGTAGTAGTTCATCATCTGTATAATAACACCCAAAGTCAATAACAAATAGACCATTTACTGTTTACTGTGAGATCCCACATAAAATCAAATGTAAAATCTGGACAAAGGTCACAGCGTTGTAGTGATGTCAAAACATGAGATTCAACAACGCGAGTATTTTGGTGGTATCTTCATGCTTAATAATGTGCTATCCACTTGATGCTAGATTTTGATGAATTAAGGGTATCTCAATGCAAGATTCCCCCACCAACAATCATCATTTCAATACTGAAAAGAAATTCGAAATCAAATTGTTTGATTTTTGACAGATGTTCGGTCCGCATCTTTCACACAGTATGCAAGAACAGAAAAGTGAACAGTGAATGGAAAATCATCCATTATATCCCGTGAAAAGCAAGCATCGTATTCAGATCGCGAAAATAACTGTAATTTCAATTCATCTAAATTTGTAATGTTTCCTTTCTTATTTCAGAATCGCATACAAAGGCAAATCGAGTGGTGTTTGTGTACAGTGATTTGGGAATCAGTCGAAGTGTCACCATAGTATTAGCACATCTCATGTATCTTTACAAATGGTCTCTCAAGGTACGACTAAACCCTCTCCTCATTAAATTTATTTTGTCCCTTCAATTCAAGGTACCAGAATTCAGGTTCACCCTCCCCTTCATTATTAATTACCCATACTCACTACAATTGCCAATCACCTTCATTACCATCACTGTGATTACAAGAACTCTTGCACAAACCAACTACCATGCTATTTACTTTTTCATTCGCAGGACGCTTACAGCCATGTTGAAGAATGCAAATTTAATATTCGTCCTAACAGAGGTTTTGTCAGTCAGCTTTCTCAATGGGAATCACAACTTTACGGTGAAAGTACAACAGATATAGCAGATCCTAATTACTAAATTGAGACAATTTATTAAGAGTACTACTTATAATAACTTTCAAATTTAAACATTTTAATATTATCTCTATATTTTTTTTTTTTTTAAGATTCAAGATTTATAATTAACGCTTATTATCTTTTTTAGTCCGAAATTGGATACTATTAGTTTGGGACTTGTACATGCTTTGACTGATCTCATTAAAACTCAACACAGACCATGTATGATGACTTTTAGCATTTATAGCATTTGATATAATATGGTTGACTGGCAGCCATTTTTGTCCTCAACTTTGCTTAAACACGTCTTGAATTGTTTCTCAGAGATGAACTGGTTGATTTCATTGAAACTTTGTATCATGATCATGTTACATGACTAGTGGCAATTTAGTTTGCATTCAAGTCTGAGCCGACTCTTCCCTAATATATCACCTGATTCAGTTGAAAGTTTGCACACGAGTTCTATACTCACAAATACCATAGGTTGTGTTTTGTGATTTTATTCAGTTTGTTAAATTGATGGCCATTTTATCTAAAATTGTAAAATCGCAGTCTGTAAATGTGTCCGGGCAACACCATTTTTTGGAGATGTAGGCACAACACTTCTGTGTAGAGATGTGAATTGTACGGAACATTGAGATCGAATACCAATAATACCAAACAGGAACTGTGTTTGTTTAGTAGACAACAAAATGTTCCAGGTTCCTGATTGAGTAGTTACTTGTATTTTTCTGCGTCTGTAGAACAGCATTAGTTAAAACAAAATAGACACTAGTTGTTTCATTTTGAATCTAATCTGCTAATCAAAGAGGCCTCCTCATATTGACGAATGCATGTACCAAATTTGAGTGTCCAAGATACAGGTGCAGACAGACGTACACGTAAAACTGCAAGTCCCGGTTTTCAGACTACATGCAAACAAGGACTTATTAACACACAGGAGCATTTATAGTTCAGGTCTGTTATAACTTTCAGGGTTACCAGCCTATTTTCCGAGAAAACGATTATATTTTGATGAGTGGTGGTCATTTTGTCAGTTATAACTGCAGTTTTGATCATATGCCATATTTTACTATGAAAACAATGTATATTGTTACTATACGCCAGAAAATTCATTGAAATTAACACATGTGCACCAGAGACCAGTTTAGCAGGTAAATTTTAAAATAGACCAGTTTTAAAAACTCCTTTTCATTCGCAGTTGACATAAACACAAACCCCGCCACAGTTTGGAAGTTTCAGTATCTGCGCTCCAAAGTATATGGTGAAGCTGCAAAGTATCAAAAGCTTACAGCTAAGTAATTGACTAAGTATGTTTACTCAATTTACTCGACAAACAATATTGGCAAAACCACAGGAAATAGCCTACATGAAATCACTATACGAATTACCAAAACCTGCAGATACACAAGTTTCCGAAACTTTTACGATAATTTAGAAAGCAGTATACGCATACCAGAAGCACTAGGAAAAAAAAAGTGATTATGGATAAATCGCTGGAAAGTTTTTAAGACTTATTTTATGTTGTGCTTCAAGAATCCTGCACTCTGGTTTTAAAAAGTGATTATAAATACAGTTTTGCTTTGTTCTCAAAATGTAAATTGTACACAAATTGATATGTAATCATACTTGCCTAACCAAATTCCAATGTAAAGCATAGATTAAGACAAAATAGGCACTGGTCAACAATTTTGAATCTGATTTTCAAACCAATACATCTGTATATCTATTACATAATGTACTGAATACATCAAATTTGAACATCAGTCATAGCATGTCAGAGATACAACAGTCAGCCATTTTGAATTTGATCGGGGGAAAAACAAAATGACGTGCATCGAAGTCCCATAATGTCCAATGCATGTACCAAGCTTGAACAAAAACTATCTGTAAACGGCAGAGATACAGAATGCAAAAAATTCTTGATTACAATGAAATCTTGAATCGGATCATGAAACAAATTGATTAATATATATAATATTAAGCATGATGTAGGAATCAAGTTTGAATGTAATCGGTCCAGAGTACGAGTACTCCCAGTTAGCGACTGTCAACATTACCGGTAGCACCAAATAATTATTTACACTTTCAAAAGAAACAAAGTGGAGCCAGTTTATTAGCGTGAATCCTTACTTTATTTGCCCATGACATTCATAATCCATTTTTAGCATAAAACAGATGCATGTATATAGATTGTATAAATATAATAACACGATCAATCCAGCTATGTTAGCCATAAGGTTCCAAAAACGGCATTTGTTAACAATAAAATGCATGATCAAGATTCAGTACTGGAATGACAGAAATACTCAACTTTGATGAATTTTTAGCACTAAAATGACTGCCATCTTGAATTAGCTGTGCATATTTACAAGATGTGATGTGAAGTTTGAATGAAATTGGCCCAGGCATGTCCGATGAGATGCACGCCAGTTTCAGGCTGCCGTAACTACACTATATTTCACTGCTACTAAAATGATTCAACATTTTATAAATGCAAAATAGTCGTCTTATACATGTACTATCGACTCAACAAACCCACTCCCTAGTATTTGATAAATATTCATAGATTTCAATTGCATTTGAATCCCACCAGCCAATCACTGAGCAGCAACGTATTTTGACAAATTTATGCTATTCCAGTGGACAATATGATCTTTTCCTTTTAGTTTGAATTGTGTTCTATATTTATAAAAATGAAAAGAATGGGTTTGTGGTGGTGATAGTAGACAAACAAAAACGATTTTTCTTTTATAACAGTTTTATTGAACATCAACATAATATCATGGCAACATAGCCATTCATATGACAACAGATAAATATAAGATATTGTACCATGGTGAGGTGAGGTGAGGTGAGGTGAGGTGAGGTGAGGTGAGGTGAGGTGAGGTGACACTTTGGTTAATTCATAGATCTACTGCATAAGTCTGTTCTATAAAAAAACAATCAAGGCTTGGTACAACGAATTCATAAAACAATCAGCAATAAAGATGTACATGTTAGATTCTTCTAAGCATGCTTTCAAAAATCAAAACTGAAATAAAAAACAATCTGCAACATTCAGTTTTGACGAATAGGAATGATCCCAGAATACAATCTTTTTTGTCTGGAACTGCAGGCATAAAAATCTAATCTACATAACAATAAATATATGTAAGTAACTTTAAGTGAACCAATATCAAGCATATTTGTGTCCAAAATTAGAACTGAATATTTTTTCAACAGTAACAACAAGATAAAGCATCAGTCTGTTCACATACTTCTGTTATCCCAGTTTACAAATGTTCTATATGTATGTCCACAGCGATACTTAAAAACTAATCTATATAATAGTAAAAAATATATAGAATAAAAATAAATTGCCAGCATTTTCTTTTTCTCAAGAGTTAGTTTTTACTTCTCAGAGAGGCACTTTGTAACTGAACTATCATCAAAATTAAACAGCCATAAAAAATCAAGCCAACATGATAATCTTAATTTTTTTGTCATTGGAAAATAAATTTAAGGCAAAGAATTTGACATCATGATTTCTATATCTGTCAATATAAAGTTACTCTTGCTAAATAAAAAGTTTCAGCATCAATTCATCTTGTCTCCACGTTTCTCTCATCTTCCTAACAATAATTAGGTTGCCTCCTGCTTCTTACAAGAAGTACAGACGATCAGACAACTCAGCATGAGGTTCTTTGTGTAAACTCTGACCAACCAGGAAAGCCAATTTGTGAGCATACTGACAAGGAGCTGGCACACGAATAGTACCCTACAATAGAGTGGCACATGTTAGTTATGGTAATGTACTGAAGTATGACAACATTGTACCTTTGTCTTGGCACATAATATGATAGCAAGTCTACTTCAAGGCAGGGACACGATTTCTAAAAATAATTCAGCGACAAGATTGCTGAAAAATAAATTGATAAATATAGCTGCTGAGCCACCATTGAAGCTGAAAAGTAAAAAGTATTTTTGTGAGTTACTTACTGGCCAATTGAAGTACAGGTGACACATTTTGTAAGTCAATCTCTGGATATGTTCAGGTTTTAAGCCAGTAGTCTCCCATGCAACGTGGTAATGTGTAGGTGTTACTGTGCCTTGGCGTACAGACTGAGATACCAAGTAGAAGTCAAACCTAGAATATAGAATCATAGAATAAGATGATATTGACTTGAGTGATCATTTATAACAGTAGATATGTTAATTATAAATATGCAAATTATGTAAAGTAAACTTTATTGACATTGTACCCTCTTTAGGGCATTAAACAATTAACAATAAAGGAAAGTAAAATACAGTAATTACTAAAATAGCTAAATAATAGAAAAAAAATTAAAATCACTGGTGTGGTAAGTTTCATGTTTTCTTCTCTCAAGTTAAAGCACTGATAAATGAATTTACCTAGTTTGATCAATGTGTTTTCATTTTTGCTTTCTAGAATTTATATAAACAAATCTGATCAATGTTTGTGTTGCCAGTTTGTTGGAAAAATTCATGTATTTATAATGTTTGAACATGGATGGTCAGAGCATGTTGGAGATATAGCCCTGGAACAGCACTTGTTTAAACAAAATGGCACCACCTTGAATCTGATCTGAAATACAAAGTGATGTGCACCAAGTTTAAACAAAACCCATCTATGGGCTTGAACGGTTTCAGCACACAAAAATGGCCACCATTTGGCCATCTTGAATCAAATAAGGGAACTGGATGTGCATTAATATCCCAGTATGTATAATGTATGTATGAAGTTTGAATTTGATCAGTTCAGATATGTCCAAGATGTTAGTAGAGACATACGCATACATACACAAATGGAGGTCAAATCTTGGTTCTCAGTATTCAAAATATATGGGATCAGGACTAATTAGATACTATATGTTTGGACCTTTCTTTAGCTGAAGAACACTAAATATGGTATCCACAAGCAGCAGATACAATATTTCAAATAATTCAAGTGCAATAAATGTTTCCATCTTACCATTCAGGTCTTGTTACTTCACTGTCCACAACTGTGCCTGGAGGAGGATTGCTCAGATCTTGTCTAGCCATGTGGAAGAATCTAGCATTGACACGCTTCTTGACAATCACAACAGCCACCTTGGGACTTGAAAACACACTACATGTCAGACACTGTCCCCAAATTCATTCAATTTTTTTTTAGTAAAAACTGAAAATTGACTCAAATTTTGTCTGTTGGCTCCAAAATTAGGGTTAATTTACAAGAAAACAAAGAAAGCTTAGAAAGAACTCCCGTGTGCTTAGAGTACTGAAGACACATTAAAAATTAATTAAAAATTACTTGTACTTGAGATATTGATGGAATAGCTGAAAACTAATTATGTAAATCAGGTAACTGATATGAACAGATTTGAGTGTAAAACTAATAACGCCTGTGTAATGCAATATCTATGTACCAAGTTTCATTGAAATGTGATTAGAACAAAAAAACTATGAATTATTATTAGAGAATTAATATGAACAAATTTCAACCCAAAATTAATCGGACCTGTTTATTGTTCTAGAGCATTTACGTACCAAATTTTATTCAAATGTGATGATCAGTAATTGAGATATCAGTGTTAATTAATTATTTTAATTAGGTGAATAATAAGCATAAATATTTACCAAAAACTAATTGGGTCTCTGCATAGTCCTAGGTTAATT